TGTGATTACACTGTTCACTCACTGTGGTTCTCAATGGCTGTCACAGACTGAACATCCCTTTACTTCCTGTCCTTTTCCTCATTCTAGAGTCACTGTTGCTTTTCATCTCACCTGATCCTCCTTCTTTCCTGACCCCATCCCCCCTGCTCTTCCATCCTCATGCCCCCCCCCCCTGCGGGGGGGGGGGGAAGATGACAGCCCACCATTACCCTGTTTCCGCTAACATAGCTGCATAGGTCTTTTGAGGTGAGGGAACATCCCCTCTCCATTCCTACTCAGGACCAACCTAAAAATAGTTGCATGGTAACAGGGATTGAGGTGGAGAGAGGAACTTTGGATGTTGCTAAGGACCCAAAAGCTAAGATGAGATTTCCTCAGATTTGAGATCTGGCCAAAGACTCAACTTGTGTTTCCACTTCAGCCTCACCAACTGCTACTCCACATGTGGACCAGCCTCCTTCGTCACTGGCCATCAAGCCCAACATCTCTGTCCTGCTGATAATCCTCCCCTACACTCTTCTGTGTTTTCCAAGAGGAACCCTTGACAATGACAGGTACTGAGGACAGTGTTGGGAGTGGGGTGAGGGAAAGATGGGTGAGGAGTGAGGAAGCAGAGGGAATTCCTGGAGTCCTACTCTTGTCTCTCGTCTATAGCATCTTATTGAGAAAGGAGACTGGAGACCTGGAGTTCATGTCACCTGCTAGAAATAGCTTGTGCACGCTCAGCCTTGGCTCAACATGAATCAGGTCACAGAGCAGTGGGGAATGAGGAGGGAACACAACATGTACCTAAACACAGCAGGCTCCTAATCAGGAGGGTCCCATGGTACAGATGAGGAGACAGCAGGAAACAGAAGGAAATGGTGCTTCCTCTTAATATGTAGGTGGAAGAGGACTCCACACCACAGACACAGATGAAGAAGATATAAATAAAGAGAATCTCCAGTTTCAAGACCACTTGCAACTCTTGCATCAGACCCAAGTTCCATTCCCAGCACCCACATGGCCGCTCACAAACATTCAGCTCCAGGTCCAGGCGATCCTTCCCCTTCCTCTCCACAGACCCCAGGGATTCACACAGTGCACTTACACAATGCAGGCTCACATTTATACACATGAAATACAAATAAATCAAGCATCAGCAGCCTCCACAACCCCTGGAGCAGTGTCCCCGCTGAAGGCTGGGGTGACTGAGCTGCTGCTGGAGTCTAAGGCTCCCATCTTGGCTGGCCAGATGGACAATGTGGGTCAGGGACAGACACACAAGTGTGATGCTGCTGTCAGATTTTGAGAGTTTTAGAATGAAAGAGAAATCATACCTTGAACCCCACTCGAGGTCTGGATAACCAGGTCCCAGAGCCCTTTCTGGCTAGAGGTCCTCCCTGCTCCTCCAGCCCCTCCCATTAGGCCTTGAGTAATGAAGCAGAGCTATTCATTACCACTTTATTCTGAACTTCTAGGCCTGCAGCTCCACCTGGGGCTGACTCTGGGACATGGGAAAGGAGGAGGAAGACTGTACAGGACCCAGGGGGACCCTGGAGAGCCCAGGGGGGATGGTGGAGGGAACTGGATGACCCTCAGTGACAGTGGCTGTGGGTTGGTGATGACTGGGTACAGGGCATCCAGGAAAATGGACCTGGGCTTTACTCAGACCCTTCA